ACAAAAATAGCAGTTTTAAGCACAATATATCAGTAATAACATTAAATGTATATAAAAGGTCTAACTACACCAATTTAAAAAGTTTACCGGAATGTATTTTTTATTTTTTGATTTATGTATTTATTTGTTTATCTTTGAGACAGAGTCTCACTTTGTTGCCCCTGATAGAGTGCTGTGGTGTCATAGCTCACAGCAACCTCAGACTCTTGGGCTCAAGCGATTCTCTTGCCTCAGCCTCTCGAGTAGCTGGAACTATGGGCATCCACCACAATGCCTGGGTATTTTTAGAGATGGGGGTCTCACTCTAGCTCAGGCTGGTCTCAAACTCGTGAACTTAGGTGATCCACCCACCTTGGCCTCCCAGAGTTCCGGGATTATAGGTATGAGCCCCCATGCCAGGCCCTCAGAATGGATTTTTTAAAAACATAAATGTAAACTGTCTAGAAGAAACTTCAAAAAATTTTTTTGTTTATATGTGTATATACAAAAGGTATACACATTTAAGAAATATACACATTTTAAGAAAGGGAAAAGAAATTAAATTGCAACACAATACATATGAGTAACAAAAGATGACTATAAGTCACATTGAGCACTTCTTGTAATTGCAGAAGTCAAATGTGACTTGAGTATTTCAAATTTGTACAGCTTTTTCCTTAAAATATTTCCTTTTTTTGACACCTCTGTGTGTGTGTGTGTTTGTGTGTATCTACATATATATGTGAATGAATGTTGAAAGGAAGGGCCAGGTGAAGTGGCTCACACCTATATAATCCTAGTATTCTTGGAGGTCAAGGCAAGTGGATTGCTTGAGCTAAGGAGTTCAAGACCAACCTGAGCAAGAGGGAGACCCGTTTTCACTAAAAATAGCTGGGCTTTGGGGTGGGCACTTGTAGTCCCAGCTACTCAGGAGGCTGAGGCAAGATCAGTGAGCCCAGGAGTTTGAGTTTGCTGTGATGCATCCTATAGGATGACTCCAGGTCACTCTAGCCTGGGGCACCAGAGTCTAAAGCATTTAACTGTCTCAAAAAAAAAAAAAAAAAGTAGAAATGAAAGTAAAGAAATCATCAGCAACAAAGAGAGACATTACATAATGATAAAAGGATTAACTCATCAAGAACACTTAGCAGTTCTAAATGTGCATGCACCGAATGAGAGTGGTTAAATTACATGAAACATGAAGGAAAAACTGATAGAACTGAAAGAAGAAATAGACAAATCCATAGCTACAGCTGGGGACTTGAGTTCCCTCTCTCAACTATTGATAGAACTACTAGAAGGGAAATCAGCAAGGATAGGAGAACTTGTCACCATTAACTAAAAGGATCTATTCACATTTATGTTACCTTCTGACCAAAAGAGCAAAACAGACAATAGTCAACATAGACATTCACCTGTGTAGACTGTATCCTGGGCCATAAAATAAACGTCACTTTTAAAAGAATTGAAATTATATAAGCTAGAAAACAAGTAGCAGGAAACTCTCCAAACACATGGGAACTAAACAGTAAATTTCTGAATAATATATGGGTTAAAGAGACATTCTCAAAAGAAATTTAAAAATACATTGAATTGAGTGAAAATAAGCAAAAGTACAAACTTGGTAGAATGTCACTAAAAGGGAAATTTCTCCCATGATTGCATTGATGTGCACAGCTATGATTTAGTTAAAAAAAGGAAATTTCTAGCACTGTATACTTAAAAAAGAAGAAAGTTCTCAAATTGGTATTCTCAACTCTTATATCAAAAAAGTAATTGTAGAAGAACAAAGAAATACAGAGAAAGCAGAAGGAAGAAAACAAAGACCAAATGACAATTTAGTGATAGTACTGCTTGACAAATTTTTGTATTAGGTTTATACTGGCTTCATAAAAGTTGGGAATTATTCCTTTCTTCTCTGCTTTCTGTTTTACATAAAACTGCTGTCATTTTTTCTTTAGATGTTTGATAGACTTCATCAGTGAATCTTCTCAGTCTGGCTTTTTATATTTGGAGAGGTTTTTGATAACAAAATCCATCTCTTTTTGGTTTAGAGACAGGCTAGACTGCCGTGCCTGTTCACACTGTTATAGCTCACTGCAGCCTTGAACTCCTGGTCTCAAGTGATCCTTTCTTCTCAGTTTCCTCTATAGCTGGGACTATGGATACGTGTTACTATACCAAGCTCAAAATCCATCTATCTTGGCTCAGCACCTGTGGCTCAAGGGGCTTGGACGCCAGCCACGTACACCTGAGCTGACGGGTTCAAATCCAGCCCAGGGGCTCGGCGCCTATAGCTCAACCGGCTAAGGCACCAGCCACGTACACCTAAGGTGGCGGGTTCGAATCCCCAGCCCGG